GAACCAAAATGATCAGTAAGAATTAAACAGGATCTCTGGACTTGTCCTTGGACTATACACCCAGGGATTGGCAGATAGATATGACAGCAAAAACTGGTTGCAGGGCAGAGCCTGTTAGGGAGAATGAGACTTTTATCCACAGGATCTTTAAAGCAGAGCTCTAGTCGAATCTGAGAAAAAATTAGTCAGCAACTACAAAAACTGAAGCTGCTGACTTAAAAAAAACCCCCAAAAACCAACCAGTCACCTGTCCCATGATCCAGCGCTGAGTTCACTGGCTGTCCTTTCTCCCCAGCATCTTAAGTGTGGGTACCCAGCTGTGACAGCTTGCGGCTTCACAGCCAGGTGCCCTCTGCATCTTGTGAACGGTCCCATAAGTGTTCTGGGACCTGTCACGTGTCCCAGAAGACTGGAGGAAGGTAGGACAACTTCTGCTCGCTGAGGCGGTCAGAGTGGGTACCTGTTAAAATTGGGTACCCGCTCCCCAAAGATGCCAGTTCCTCACTGGGAGCAGGGGACCAGTCTTTAAAGCAGAATTTCCCCTTTTGGGTGGAGCTCTGCTTTAAACAATAAAATGTCCTCAAAGGAACAGCCAACGTCTTGGTAAGATAGCAAATGGCTGGATCTAGAACAAGAAAGGCCCTTTTCTGAAGGAACTCCTCCTTAATTGGGTATTGCTGGGCAAATCGCTTGGGAGGAGCGAACATCCACATTAGGCCTGTACCATACAAAACAGGTTTCAGTAGCGAGTGTAATAGGAACGTTTTGGCAGACAGGGGGCCTTACTTACTGATAGCTGAATGCAGTCTGCTCTATGTGTGTACTGCGGCAATAACAACTGAAATGGTATGCCTAAAGAGTAACTCCACTTTTGTTGAGAAAAAAAAAAAAAAAAACAAAAAACGTTCCCTTGGCGTAATGTACATTACAAGGATTTTGTTGCAGATTACCACCGGTTTCTGCTCTGAAGAAAAAGTTACTTTTCCTTTGGATACTGGTTCTGAATGAGAGTGATTCATTTTAATCAATGGATGCATTTTCAAGTTGCAGTGTCTGCATCCCTTTAAAAGTGATTAACTCTTAGGAAGGATCTCACCAAATTTTTGTTGCAGAGGATGCCTAAAACCTAACATGTATCTTAGTGCAGACTTGTTCAACAGGAAATTACATTTCTTGGGGGAGTTCTGTACACCATATTGCATTCAGTTTTTACTGTATATATTATTTTCATTTGCTATATATATTTTTTTTCATCCACAAAAGTGGAGTTACACTTTAAGCCTAGGCATAATGTCAGTAGACTGAGGTTCCTTAGGTACTAACTCATCCAAAAAGGATAGCTTGCAGTACTCCTCGGTCAAACTGTACAGAGGCAGATGCAACCGTCCTGCCAACGGGAGGGACTGCAGAACTCCTCGCTCTGTGCTTATGGTCCAACATACTACAAGTGTGTAAGAATGCAGGTCACATGAGGGATACTCCTCCTTACAGTGCCTTGAAAAAGAATTCATACCCCTTGAAATTTTCCACATTTTGTCATGTTACAACCAAAAACGTAAATGTATTTTATATGATAGACCAACACAATGTGGCACATAATTGAGAAGTGGAAGGAAAATAACTGGTTTTAAAAAATTTTCACAGATAAGTATCTGAAAAGTGTGGAGTGCATTTGTATTCAGCCCCCCAAGTCAGTACTTTGTAGAACCACCGTTCGCTGTCATTACAGCTGCAAGTCTTTTTGGGTAGGTTTCTACTACTCTCTACTGCATATCTAGAGAGTGACATTTTTGCCCATTCTTCTTTGTAAAATAGCTCAAGTTCTGTCAGACTGGATGGAGAGCGTCTGTGAACAGCATTTCTCAAGTCTTGCCACAGATTCTCAATTGGATTTAGGTCTGGACTTTGACTGGGCCATTCTAACACATGAATATGCTTTGATTGAAACCATTCCTTTGTAGCTCTGGCTGTATATTTAGAGTTGATGTCCTGCTGGATGGTGAACTTCCGCCCCAGTCTCAAGTCTTTTGCAGACTCTAACCGGTTTTCTTGGAAGATTGCCCTGTATTTGGTTCTACCCATGTTCCCATCAACTCTAAACAGCTTCTCTGTCCGCGCTGAAGAAAAGCATCCCCATCGTGAATGCTGCCACCATGTTTCACGGTGGGGGTTGTGTGTACATTGTAATGTGCAGTGTTAGTTTTCTGTCACACTTAGCCTTTTGCTTTTAGGCCAAAAAGTTAAATTTTGGTCTGATCAGACCAGAGCACCTTTTTCCACGTTTGCCGTGTCCCCCACATGGCTTCTCACAAACTGAAAACAGGACTTCTTGAGACACTTGTCGCAGAATTACAGCTGTGTCCCCAATGAACGATCAAGAGAAATTGTTTTGCATGCCTTCCATAATAGAATAGGACCCGCAGTTGAAACTGGCAGGCTTCATCAGTGGAGTGATTTAGGGAATGAAGGTGACACCCACTGAGATTTGAAGATATTGTGGCCCTGCTTTTAGGATAAATTGGTTTGTTACCTCAGGAAGGGCTTATTTTGCATTCTTCTTCTGGATTCAAAGTATTGCAGTACTAGAATTTGGTCTTTCATATGATTTGATGTACATACTTTGTGTCCTGTTTCAATGGTATAAAATATTATTGAGTTAAAGGCAGTAGGATGGATTCACTAAAGGCAAGTACACTGTGCACGTTGCAAATGCAGTAATTTCCCCAGAAAGTAAATGTAGTAAAGCTCTGCTGATTTCCATTATCTAATCATGTGCAAGCATAATTGCTGTTTTTTTTTTTCCTTGCACCCGGTTGGGTATTCTTTACAAAAATGACGTTTCACCACATTAACTAAGCTCTGGGGAAAATTAGTGCAACTGCACTTGCAAAGTGTACAGTCTATTTGCCTTTAGTAAATCCACCCCAATCTGTGACAAAGTTGATTCTTAGCAGATAGTGTGATGGAAGCCACTGCACTCAATCTATTCAGACACACACTAGTTCAGAAGTAGCCACATTGCTTGCAGTGATGGTAAGAGGTAGAGCTTCACTGCCCTGGAGCTAGTATCCAGCCTTTGAGAACTACATAACATCTGGTGCCAAAGCTTCCGAGACAGGTATTTAGTTTCATGAAAGCAGAAGCCACTCAACTGGGTCCATTAACCTGAATAGGAAGGCACTCAGATTCATGAGAGTTAAGGCAGCCATAAATGGAATGAAATTCAGCTGGTACAGCAGGGACTGGATGGATTTCTATCCATATACAGTTGTGTTCAAAATAATAGTGTGTTGAAAAAAGTGAATAAAGCTCAAAATCCTTCTAATACTCTTATTTCCATACATACAAACGCATTAGGAACACTACACATTCTATTCCAAATCAAAACATGAAGAAAAATATATCACATTTGTGTTGTTCCTCTAAAAAAAAAATTGAAGAAAAGTGAATATTAGACGGTTCAAAAAAATAGCAGTGTTTGTATTCTTCTTTACAAACTAAACCATTCACTATATAAACTGAAAAATGTTTGAAGATTTTGCTTTCCTTTGAATCACTTAATTAATATTTAGTTGTATAAGCACTGTTTCTGAGAACTGCTGTACATTTGTGTTGCATGGAGTCAACCAACTTCTGGCACCTGTGAACAGGTATTCCAGCCCAGAATGATTGGACTACATTCCACAGTTCTTCTCTATTTCTTGGTTTTGCCTCAGAAACTGCATTTTTGATGTCACCCCACAAGTTTTCTATTGGATTAAGATCCGGGGATTGGGCTGGCCACTCCATAACGTCAATCTTGTTGGTCTGGAACCAAGATGTTGCACGTTTACTGGTGTGTTTGGGGTCGTTGTCTTGTTGGAACACCCATTTCAAGGGCATTTCCTCTTCAGCATAAGGCAGAATGACCTCTTCAAGTATTCTGATGTATTCAAACTGATGCATGATGGTATGCGATAAATAGGCCCAGCACCGTAGTATGAGAAACATCCCCATATCATGATGCTTGCGCAACCATGCTTCACTGTCTTCACAGTGTACTGTTTTCCCCTCTCCAATCAACTTTTTAATCAAGGTACGCTGTTCTTCTGAACAATGTCTGGAACAACCCATTTTCCTCAGAATTTCAGAGAGAAATGCACTGTAACCAGCATGTACAGCATTTGCTGCCTTCCTTCCTTAAATAAGGGCAATAACTGCCACCTGTTTTTCAAAGAATGAATGACCTCACTAATAGAACTCCACACTGCTATTATTTTGAACATGCCCCTTTCAATTAGTGATTCAATTACACAGAATCAGCAGCATGCATGTCATGACTGTTGGGTCTGTTGGATTTCTATTACTCTACTACACTTGCTAGTAAATTATTTGCCATGTAGAAATATCATTTCTACCAAAAAAAGTGACTGATCAGGTTAGTGATGTCTGACTGCTATTATTCTGAACACAACTGTATATGAAGGCTGGCTATACAGGATAAACAATCAGTGCTTCTGGCTACAGCCGACAGCACTAATCAAGTGTATTATGATGGCAGGGAGAGGTCTACCCACAATAATTCAGAGAAAGTGATTTTCCCATCCAAACGGAATATGTTAAAAGAATGCAAAAAAGAAAAAAAAAAAAAAAAGAAGAAGAAGATTAACATGGCCTGCCTTACAAATCTCATGTAAACCACTTAACAGAGACAACATTGGAAAACCTGTTACCCTGTAAATTGTGGGATCTTTTTTGTGTACCCCATGTGGGAATACAAGAACGGTAGAGGAAACCACTAATGCACAGAGACAAAAAACATACAACTTTATTATATTAAAAATTGGACTGTCCACCAACTTGTACACCAAACTGAACAAACAGGTCTTTAGAAAGCACAGAAGTCAGGCAGGTGTTTCACATATCCCAAGACCTGTCATCCTGGGAGAATTTATTGAGGCTAATTTCCAAAAGTGGTAGAAATCAATGTAAAAAATAAAAGAGCGTTAGGTAGGGGAAGATTATACACTTGCTGTCGGAATGTTATCCAGATCGTGAATTCCATCCTTATCGATGACCCGCACAGTGAATGAGGGAAGGCTCAAGATAAACCTCTTCTGAAGCTGAAAGACACGGAGACAAAAAGGTGTCTGAACAATTTACTCCTGGTAAAAGGTGTCAGCATAAATTAATGCAAGGTAGGGAATAAATGTTTAAGAGGCTAAAAAGCTAGCTGCCTGTTGGTATTCAATTATGCAGGTAAACATGCAAATATTTTGACTAGATTACAAAGTTGAATTCTGAAGGTGTAATGATGACACTGAAAACAATGTCAAAATAAAAGAACAGCAACTGCATGTCCAAAAATAAAATATCTGTAAAAACAACACTGCAACCTTTAAACGGGCATTTAAAAAAAACACAGCAAATGACTGGTAGTGAATACAATCTTCCATAAGGGTTCTAAGTTGGAAACAGATTTTGAAGACCAAGTAATGTGTAATGAAATGAATGGGCCCTTGAGAGATGTTGCAAAAAAAAAAACAAAAAACCCTACACTAAACTCTGTATTCAGTCAAATCAACACAAATCTAATTCCATTACATGCATACCCAGTGCATATGATATCATTTTGAAAAACTCTTTGGCTTCAAAGAAAAGTTCCTCGACATTCTGGTCTCTAGGATATCGGATAATTAGACAAAAATGCTTAAAATTTGTACGACTGCTAATGAAATGAGGGAAGTGTTTGGCCAGAACGTGTATGGCCATGTGGTAATGGCTTACCTCTGTTACACATCTCTTAAGAAGTTCTACTGCCTCTTCTCGTGTGAGATCTGAAACACAAAATTAACTTCATTATAGAAAAAAGTGCAAAAGGATATTTATTGAAAAATATGTATATATATATATATATATATATATATATATATATATATATATATATATATATAGGCCTGCTAATGTACCAAGTTCAATGAATTACCTTTGTTTCACTTAGAGCCGCTATTCACATTTTTAGGCTTACGCTTACACCTTTTAAACCTTACATTTTCTTGTTAGCATTGTCAGCCTATTGATAACTGGCAGGAGGTACCCAATCCAAAGAGTTTGGCCTTCTGGGAGATACACAATTATCACACTGTCTTGGGCTAGAAGTGACCAATGTTTCAAGATTCCAAAAGCTGTTGCGATCAACGCAGTACACTGTGGGATCAATTACCTAAGAGTTAGAGCAGGGTGCAAGTCGTTTTTGTTTTTATTAAAAGTCAGCAGCTACAAAATCAGCAATGGTTGACTTTTAATAAACACACACTCACCTGTTCCAGGGTCCAGCAATGTTCTCACCTGCACCGTCCCTTCTCTCCCCGGTGCTGGCATCTCAACTGTGGGCACCCAGCTGTGACAGCTTGCAGCTTCACAGCTGGGTGCCCACTGCGCATGCACGAGTCGCGCTGCACATCTCAATTGGTCCGACAGTCTTCTGGGACCTGTGAAGTGTCCCAGAAGACTGCGGGAGGAAGTAGGGGAGCAAAACTTCCGGCTCACTTCACCACGGCAAACTGAGCCGGAAGTGGGTACCTGTCAAAACCAGGAATCCGCTGCCCCCCAAAAAGTGCCAAATATGACTGTGGAGGGGAGGAGGAGGAGGCAAACAAACAGAACTTCGACTTTTGGGTGGAACTCCGCTTTAAATACCGCATTCATTTTTGAGTTAAAATAACTCATACGGCATTACTTACGAACGTGCAATTCACGAATACACGTTAAATACTGAATGAGTTACATTTTTTAGTTTGCGGTTTTTAACGTGTTTTTTTGCACAATATTTTAAAGTGGTTCTAAAAAGGTAGGTTTATCTTAAGGCATTCACGTTGATGAGGATAAGGGTCTTTGCCCCCACAACCCTGGCTCAGGGGTTGTAGGGGTGACATCAGAATATAGAAGTTCTTTTTAACAAGGGGACTACCAGATCCCACCTCCATGTGAATGAGTATGGAGAAAATTGCCAATTAAATGAATAAACAAACGCTTAATATGCCTGTTTGCAAAAATGTGGCTTTAGGCGTGTTTTTTATGCTGCTTTTCTCCTGCCAGAAGAAAGGCGTTTAGAAGAGTTGGGCAAACACCCAGAATGCATGGGGCCTAATAAGACAGACTGTTATATTAAGAAAATGAAAATATAAAGACTACCTAGCATTAAGTATTTCTGTACTTTCCCCCCAAAAAAAAAAAATGTAGAATATATCCATTTGTTCAGTCAGTTACAGCATAAATTGCATAATCTAGGTCTATAGGTGTAATATTTATAGCAGAGGTGGCAATTCATTTTTCCAAAGGGCCATATGAGAAATTGGGACTATTGTGGAGGGCCAAACTGAATTCTATTCAATAATAATTTTTGGACCTGGGAAGGTCCGTGAGTAAGTAAAGTAGAAAACAAACACCTGGCGCTAGAAAAAACAGGCACAATTGCCCATGAAATAAGTCTCTTTCAGACGGGGGTTGGGGGATGGTAAAACATGCAGATGACCAGCAGCTTTACCGCACAGCAAACGCAAATTGTAAATAACAGCAGGATGGGGATGTTCATATGCCATGGTCATGATGCTTTGCTTCGCAGCCACTGCATATTTAACTCAGGGTCAGGGGCGGACTGACAACTCATGGGGCCCCCGGGCAATAGGGGATCATGGGGCCCCTGTGTCCTTGCCCACACTCAAAGAAAGCCTATAAAAAAGGTACCAGGGGCATTTCATGGGGCCCCCTACTGACCCCAGCCCCTCGGGCAGTGCCCGAGTTCTCAAATGGTCAGTCCGCCCCTGCTCAGGGTGCAGCACTGCTTGTCAAACTCGCCCACTGAGTTCAGTGAGAAAGCTTACAGGCTCTGAGAGACATGCTGAGAGTGGCGGCTTTGCAGGCTGGACAGGAACAGCTAAAAGGGTTGGAGGTGGCCCTGGGGCCGCATTTTGCCCAAGTCTGATTTAGAGGGATAAATGAGCAGTTTTTTATTCATAAACTGCATGCTAAAAAATGTAAACTGTGCTAGTGGGCCAAAGCCACAAGATTCAGGTACGAAAGATCTCTATTTGATACAAGCTGAAGTGTCCCTTCCTAAATACAAGCACTGTATTTACCAATCACCCTCTGTGAGACATCTGCCTGTGTACTGCCACCCTTACTGTTAGTGTGGAAGCCCTCGGTTAGATGCTATGGCGAGACTGAACTAGTACTGATTTGCAAATGACTTGCAGTCAATTTCAGTAATGAAAGAGTGCTGAAGACAAGCAATGATTGATTGACAGCACTGCTTAGAAAGGGACCTGAGGGACTAAGGAAGGAAGGTGTTGGTGATACCGAAGACCCACCAGGGGGTACTCTGTGATCTGCGCCCCAGCAAGGTGAGGGTGTTATCACACTAACTTATCAGCACTGGTATAACATGTTTGGAGGGCTGCATTTCAAAGCAGGCTCTCTGAATTGACACTACGCCGAGCCTCTCTGCCCCGAGTGATAAACGATTAAAAAGAAAAAAATAACTATAACTATTTCTAGGCTACTAATTATTGCTGCTACATTCAGACTTTTCTTTTTTCATCCTCTGCTCTTCTAATCTTTGTAAGGGCGATACTTAAATAAAATGATGGAAACAATATTGTGCATTGTTTGCGGAATCTCCCCCCCCCCCCCCACAGTCAAAAACAAGCTTCATAATAAAAACTTGCTCATGGGCAAATAGCGAACACAAATTGACAAAAAATTCACATAATATGTTGAATGAACCCGCACAGCTCCATAAACACTTTTTGAATGCATTGTGTTCCTCCAGCCACCAGGCAATCAAAAAGTCCACTGAAGGGCAGCAATTATAAATCACACTACAGAAAGGGGATTCTTTGCCATTTCAATCCTTCAAAAAATGATCAACAGTGTTGAATGTTTATGGTCAGAAAACTAAAACTCTATATTGTAGAGTTTGACCGTGCATGTCAATTATAACCTGGTATTTTGCTAGACTGTTGGCAGTAAAGGATACCTGGTGATCGTGCTAGAAATATAGGCTATACCCAACTTCCTTTTATGGGCTGACAAAGTCTGCTACTGTTGTACAAAATGGAAAGCAGCGTCATAAACCCGCTGTGTGAAATCAATGGCTGGACTACAAGACGTGCCTCTCAATGACAAGTGTAGTTCTGTATCTGCCTGCATGCCTCAACAGGATGTGTCTGAAAACTGTTGATGCCCTCCAGGCAGAAGCAATGAACTGAAAGCACTTTGCACACGGGGAAGGAATGCTGGCGGAAAGCAGATCGAGTGTTTTAATAGGTAAATCTAATGTGATCTAAAAACTTATTTGCAGCAGATTGTTGGTCTCCATATATAGGCAAGGTGCCTACATTTTCTGCAACCTAACAAATAAAGCCATCAGGTCTCAGGCTGTGCACAGCTAGATATACTGTATGCCTCCAAATGTTAGAATAAAAGTTGTCACAGTCTTAAGTTGGGTATGCACGGGCCGAAAATGGTTGGTTCAACAGGAACCAGCTGACTTTTAGCCTGTGTGTAAAGCTCTGCCTCTGACAGAAGCCAGTTTCATGACCGTCTTCTGTCACATGGACATGCTGGAAAACAAGCCAATGGCTGCCAGCACTGATCAGTGTGTCCTGGTGTGGGGGGGCATCCCTATCAGAACACAACAGCTCAGCGGGGAAATCGCCGCACTGATATCGGATGTGAAAGGCTGGCCATACACTATACAATTTTCTGTCCAATTTCCTTTAGATTTACCTTCAATTATGTAGTGCAAGAGCCTACCTAATTGGATATAATTAAAAGTGTTGTTAGGTCTGGTTTGTTATGGTTTTTGGTAAATCTAAACCAAAAATCTCAAGAAAATTGTATAATGTATGGCCAGCCTTAGTAGGACGATCTGTTAGGTTTTTTGTTCAGCATGCTGGGTTGAACAAAAAAAAAAAAAAAAAAAAAAAAAACTTCCTGTGTGTACTCAGTTTTACTCTTATATTAAAGCGGAGTTCCACCCAAAAGGGGATGTTCCACTTTAAAGATTGGTGCCCCGCTCCTCATTAAGAATTGGCACCTTTGGGGAGCGGGGGGGGGGGGGGGGAAATTTGACAGGTACCCGCTCCCACTTCCACTTCGATCGCCTAGGCAATCGGTAAAGGAAGCTGTCCTCCTACCCTCCCCATAGTCTTGTGGGAGATGTGACGGGGCCATTCAGGAAGTGGACACCCGGCTGTGAAGCCGCAAGCTGTCACAGCCTGGTGCCCACACTGAAGATGCCGCTACCTGGAATACAGGACGGCTGGTGAAACGGGTTGCGGCGGGGGCAATGCAGGATCGCAGGACAGGTAAGTGGCTTTTTTTAAAAGTCAGCAGCTACAGTTTTTGTAGCTGCTGACTTATGTTTGGAACTCCGCTTTAAGTTTGCTCTGTATCCTGGGAAGAGCCACTTCAGTCCCTAAAAGAACAATGTTACCAACAACTGACAGATTCCCAAAACCAAATATCAGTTTTATATGAAAGTTGCTTTTAAAGTTAATGTGTGATAAGAGAAAAACCGGGGCAGTCTTGCTGATAGCCTTCTAGTTGCCTGGCTGCTGTGCTAACCCACTGGTTTTAATACTTTCTAGTCAATGATCCCAAACATTTGAATATATTTGCTCCAGGTTAGCGACCTAAAGTAATGAAAGCAGAGGAGTAGGATGACAGCCAGGCGATGAGCCTTTTCAGTGTGTTCCTGTTTTTTTTAATGATAAATCTGTGGTCCAGTGAAGCTGTTCATCATATGCGACAATAGGAATGGTAGTGGTGTAGCTTATGCCTGTACACACAGTTTTTTTTTTTATTATTTTCAATCAACACAGCAGGCTAAATGAAAAAAAAAACAAACAAAACACAAAAAAAAAAAAAAAAAAAACTGAAGAGTTCTGGAGGGCTCACTGTACCAACTATCAGATCTCAGTACAGCAATACGCCAGGATGACAGGAAGCCTGACACCCCCCCCCCCCCCCCCTCTTCAATCAGAAAGCAACGGTCAGCGCTTGCAGCTATAGGCTGATGCTGTTCGGATGCTGGTTTTCTGTTGGACAGGCTGGTGTTCACATGATCCAAATGTTGCCCGCTTTGTGTTGAACTGGCTGATATTCGTCCAGGAAGTACCGGGCTTTAGAGGCATGCCCTTACAACTCCTAAAGTGCTGAGCCTTGCCTACCAAAGTGGCTTGGTCGTTGCAGGTAGGTGCCTGCATTTTATATCTATAGCAGTTTGCCCTTCTTCCCCACAGTGAGAAAGGCTTTTAAAACATTAGCAAAAAATGTTATGGTAATGATAATTTGCTGGCCACACAGCTTGCCCTGTCCAAAAAAAAATCCCACTGAAAAGACACTCCATTCCAGGTCAGCTTTTCGATATAAATTCATGATAGTGCTATTACTTTGTTACAGGGCAAGTTGTGTGTTTGAAGCCTTTTTCCCCCAATGTTAAACATAGGTTGGCAAACTATAAAATCGATCTACATCTTCACATAAACCTTAGTTCAAAATTCTAGAAGAGCAGAAATTATCTGTACAAATAGGGGCACTATAGGAATCTGTTATTTCTTTTGGACTTTTATTTGAAAAAGAAGTAATCTTGATAAATATATTGCTTTATTGACACGCATATGGCAGGTCATACCTGGCTTGTAGTAGCGGTCCAGGATGCTGAGAGTGAGGAGGGCCCCATAGCCATGGGCTGCAAATGGTGCTTTTGCCAGAGCTGCCAGGTAATCCATGTAATAGAGGGAAGGGCCCGTCATGATCATCGTAACCAGCCAGCAGCAAGTTAACATGGTAAGGAGTCTGTAAACATAAATAATAAAGCCATATTTAACTAAAGCCATGTAACACCCATTGGTTTACTTGTAGAATAGTATGCTGAAAATTTAGATCTCAAAATACCTATATCTGAAAACTACAATACATTCATCTATACCAGTGATGGCGAACCTATGACACACGTGCCGCAGGGGGCAAGTAGAGCCCTCTCTGTCGGCATGTGAGCCAAGTCGTCCCAGCAGCCGAGCATCAGATACCAGTGCACATAGTGGCCGTGCACCTGCTTGGAAAGGAGTAGCGGCGCCATGCGATGATGCCATGAGCTGCGACTCATTAGCCGGCACTCGTCCAAGCTTTCACATGGCCGGTCAGTGCGCTGCCAAGGATATATATATTGGATTGGCTGTGAGTTTTAATAAATTTGTGGAACTTTGCCCCCTTGTGCTGGTGGTCAGTGGAAGCTCTTTTGTGTTTTTCTTTTAAGACAAAAAAAGATGTTAATGTAGAAGTTATTTTTTCTAAACTAAAATCTCAGTACTCAGGTTTAATTGCAGTGCTGGCACTTTGTAATAAATAAGTGGGTTTTGGGTTGCAGTTTGGGCGCTTGGTCTCTAAAAGGTTCGCCATCACTGATCTATACTATTCATACTGCCAAACTAACTACAGAAACACAGGACAAAATAAATCCAATAAAGTCACCTAAAAGGTTAAAAAAACCTTATTTACACCTACCTACATTTTCCATATATGGCAAACCATAATGCGTGCCCACTGGTGTGAACTGGCCTATATGTCCTTAAAACAGCCAAATGCCCATATTGGCTAGAGCCAGTTTTGGGTTGGCATTAGTCTACAAGTACATTTTTTTGTGAAAGGGCTTTATACATTGTACACCACTATATGAAAGGGCACTGTAGTACCACTGGCAAACCTGGCGGATACAAACTCTATGCTGACGATTTATAGTGGGATCTGTAAGTATCAGCATTCAATGTATCACAATAGCACAAAATTTGGAGACACTACTTGAAAATGTATTAATGCTATAAAATCGGACAGTGTGGATAGCCTTTAAGCCCACCTGAAATTTTACACTAAATCAGTTCAACAATTTGGTGTACAACACAACAAAAAGGTGTGCCAAAGGTTACAGGTTTCCTTTAGATGCAGACACAGTATGAGCAGAAAAGTCTGTCCTCTGCCAGTCTGCTGCAAGTGGACAAAGAAGAATCCCTGCTCTCTGTAGGGAAGACCCCTACATGACATGACCCCTGCTGAGTCACAGCAAAGCTCTACTATCAGCAGGGAACATGAGTATTTCTGATTGCAGAGCCTAAAGTCTAACTCAGTAAGGGGCATGTCAGATCCCTGCAGGGGGACCACTACTTCTCTGCAGAGAGCAAGGGCCCTCCTTCACAGCATGATAGCAGGGTACAGGTTTTTCTACTCCTGCTACTTTTAATGGAGAACAACATTTAAGACTTTTGGTGGTACATCTTTTTTTTAGTGTCTGGGATATACAGTATTTAGCCAATTTAACATGTTTACAAAGTTTTAAAAAAGTTTTTGGGGGCTTTAAACTTTGCCAGATATTCAGTGTATGAGCTGACAAAAGTACTTCTACACAACAACAACTATACAGGTTTCGAACTGTAAACCAATCAAGCTTTACTGGAACGCACCAGTGCCATGGAACTGGAAAACAGCGATTGGAGGAGAGAGCTCTGAAAACAACCTCATTTGTGAACTGCCGAACCTTTTCTAACCAAAGTCCAAACCAAGCTGTATTGCTTTGACCGCAGTGGAGAAAAGCAGATGGTCTGAAAAGTGTCCAGCATGGATGCCCAGATTAGAAAGCGAACTGTAAAGAATGAGGCTCCATGTATGCTAGCTTAAAAAATCCTGCTCCTTGAAGAGTTTAGCGTTTTGCCTGCAAAAGCAACTAATGTCACCCTATGTGTCCAACAAGCACATTACGTAGTCTAGAGGTTTTTTTTTTTTTTTTTAAATTGGTTGTAAAGACTCAAGGTTTTTCTACTTTCATGCATTCTATGCCTGAAGGTAAAAAACCTTCTCTGTGCAGCATCCCCCTCAATACTCACCTAAGCCCCCTCTTGATCGAACGATGTGCCCTGGAGTCTCGGCTATCCCGGGACTCCCTCTCCTCATTGGCTCCCACTGCTGTCAATCTCAGCCAGTGAGCCAATGAGAAGAGAGAGGGGACAGAGCTGAGCCATGGCTCTGTATGTGCATGGTGCCCCCATAGCAAGCGGCTTGCTGTGGGGGAGCCCGACAGAAGGGAGGGACCAGTAGCACCAGTGAGGGACCTTAGAAAAGGATGCAGGCTGCTGTGTGCAAAACCACATCACAGAGCAGGTAAGTATAGACATGCTTTGTTTTTTTTTTTAAATAAGCCTTTAGAATCCCTTTAAGTTCAGCATTCTGAGGCAGAAAAAAAAATACTTTTGTTTTGCATTTTTGAGAGCGTTCTGCCAGAAAAAAAACCAAACAAACAAAAAAAAAAAAAAAAAACCGCTAACTGCTCCTAAATGCTAGCACCAAAAAAAACGCCTAAAATTTGCATTTTTTTCTGACGAGGACTGGCGTTTCTTTTAAGCCAGTGTGCATAGAGCCTTAAACATTTTTTTTGTCAGGTATGACAGTATATTCTTCAGCTGTGTATCTGACTAATTGCCTATGTTGACATTTTAATGCCATCTGCAGATATTGACCTCTTAAAAGTAAAAAAAATAAAAAGGCTACAAAGTCATTACTTAAAAGCTAAACATAAAAAGGACCCTGTATGAGCACCTATTCTTCTTATAGCCAAACCCATTACTACTCTAGCAAACCATTGTGTAATCTGCCCATTCTACTGCATATATATATATATATATATATATACACATGTTGCTACCAGTTTAGGTATGTACAGTTGATACTTGGAATGACCATACAGCATAAATAATGAGCACATTTGTAAGAACGTGGCAGTGCAGGGTCATGTGCAATGGGCAGAAAAGATGTTGCAGTGTTAGCCACCGTTCCCTAGATACTTTAATTTAATTAGCCACTCTAACATTTATTTATGCCTACACATCCGAGACACAGGCACAATTAACAGGAGGAGGATTTGGGGGGTGGGGGGGTTCTCTCAGTGTTTAAAGAGCGGTGCAGGAGATGTCTCGCCAAAGGTTTGTGCGACTCTCGAGATGCCAGCTTTCTGCATGTGTGAGATGCTCAGGCATAAATAAAAGGGTGTGAGGCAGTTTTAATTAAACCAATACATCTGTGCCAGTTACCATGTCAGACTTCCTCTTGACACGCTCGGGCACAAGGGATGAGCTGTCTAATTTTCACTCATTCAAGGCCACAAACTGCAGTGCAATCCTATGGACCCCTTTTAGAACCATGTTGGGACTGACCCCTTCCTATAACTCAAAGGATCATTAGATAGGGGCTTATAATTCACACTTCAATATTGTTGGAATTAAGGCAACACAAAAACACATCTTAAATATAGGATTTTTATTTTGTAAAAAAGCCTAAAAACTGAAAGAAATTTTTAAGCTGCATTTGTCAATATCCTGAAAATGCTAGTTACCAAACTCCAGTGGGGTCCAGGCTTTAAGTCACTAAACCAGGACAAGTTAAGAGATTTGATTTTACTTTCTTCAAGCTTGTTCTAGGGCAATAACTGCCAGGCTACTAGCATTTTCAGAGAATGGTAAAAAAAAACAAAACAAAAAAACAACAAAAAAACCCAGGACAAGAATTTTCCTCAGCATAGGCAAAATGTATCATACATTCACTATTACTTAAAATAAATAGATAAAAACTACTGGTGCTATCTGCAAATGACAAAGTTCTGTTTCCAAATAGCAGGTTTAAAGAGATCAGTGTGTATTATGATCCTATTTCTGGAGGCAAAAAAGTTTACCTTTCTAAACAGTACCTATACATTTTGTGCTGGTTTCTGTAGCTGGAGAGAGGTGCAGATTTAATAGATTGCTCAAACCAGATTCCCATTTCCTATGCACAACTATGCTTCAAATTTACTGCGCGTTAAGTTTTGTTGCTTCCATGCCCTGCTCCATATTTGAAAAAAGTAAATTATTTGTGTAAAAAAAGATAAATGGGGAAAAAAAAGTGTGTGTGTATGTATATATATACACACACACACACACACACACACACACACACACACACACACACATATATATACACACACACACACACACACACACACACATATATATATATATATACATACACACATACATATACACACACACACACACACACACACACAGTCAGGTCCATAAATATTGGGACATGGACACAATTCTAACATTTTTGGCTCTATACACCACCACAATGGATTTGAAATGAAACGAACAAGATGTGCTTTAACTGCAGACTGTCAGCTTTAATTTGAGGGTATTTACATCCAAATCAGGTGAACGGTGTAGGAATTACAACAGTTTGCATATGTGCCTCTCACTTGTTAAGGTTACCCTCAAATTAAAACGGACAGTCTGCAGTTAAAGCACATCTTGTTCATTTCATATCCATTGTGGTGGTGTATAGAGCCAAAAATGTTAGAATTGTGTCGATGTCCCAATATTTATGGACCTGACTGTGTATATATATATATATATATATATATATATATATATATATATATATATATACACACACACACACACACACACACACACGACAATGACAATTTTCCATTAACAAACATCACTTCGAGGAAAAAAAAAAAAAAAAAAGCAATGGCTACCCAGACTATTTTGTAACATCATACAATAAAAACAAATAAATAAAAACATAACACAACAAAAGAAAAAACAAACAACTTTTGCATTTACATCTGCAAACCCCCATGTTTTCTACAACTGCCAAATTTCTCTTTCCTAGAACACATGGCATCTGTACACAAAACATAAGAGCTCCATCCTCAGCTCAAATGGCTGCTCACTGCTTGAAGTCTGTACAGTACAGGAATCCCCCACAAT